CTGACCCTGGACGCTGGTTTAATCTTCCAGCATAAAACAGGATAGTCCTCAGCTGCTTTAGAAGCTGGTAAAGCTACACATGAAGTGGGTGGGAAGGGAGCAGAAAACACAAGACAACTAGCATCCTGAGCCTAATCAGCCTAAATTATACTCTAGCTCTGTGTCTGTAAACGTTGTCTTACTGTGAAATCTATTGTCTGTATACTGGAGATGATAAAAACAACCTTGCAGAGTTATTACTCAGATTGGATAAATAAAATCGATCACTCAGCTCAGAGTGAGCACTGAGTAAACAATTGCCCAGTCACATGAGCCTTTCAACAAGAGTCAGTATTCTGAAATTTAGAAAAAGACCAAAACTTGGAGCCACTTTTCTACATTTGGCTATTCATTCTGATCCTTAGCTACCACCTGAAGCTCCTAGGACAGGGTCTCTCCATATAGTTCAGGCGTTGAACTCACTCTGTAGCCCAGGCTGGCCTTGAACTAACAGAGATCCCCCTGCCTCAGCCTTCCCAGTATGGGGTGACAGACACATACTACTACCTCCACCCATGGCAGCAGTATTTAAGCTCAGGAAATCTAGACTGACTGCTACGTTTCATACTGAGTATATTCTCTCTGTAGGGTCTAAAATGTAGTTTGGTTCATTCAAACTCTTGCAAAGAATCTCCAGGTAATTTCCTGCTACCAAGAAACATTTATTAAAGTAACTAGAAGAATAAGGGTAGATTTTTAAAAGCCAATCCTTTGGAAATTTGAGAAGTACTGGAACAGATTTTCATACTGGCTTAAATTTACTGAATCCATCTGAATGTAAATAGTTCCATTACATTTATAAATTTAGATTACAGAAATAAGCATCACTAAGGACAGATCTACACAGATGCCTGACTGTTCTAGGGATGACTGACTGTGTGAGGTGGCCCAAGAAACTAGTCATCATGGTGCCTCTAAGAAAAAAAAAAAAACAGGCACACAGGGGTGAGGAGCAGGAAAGAGATGAATGATGCACTGACTCTTACAGCATGATGTGCTAAAGCTATGTCCATGCATTATCTGTTCAGTCACAGTATTAAGTGTGTGACTTGAAAGAAATAAAGATGTCTCCATAAACACTAATGGCTCCATAAAGTGGCCAGGCTAGTGGAAAGCCATTGCCAAAGACAAAGCTGCAGTCATCATTCAAGTCCCATAATCTCCAAGGGAAGAATTCTAGCTTGAACATACACAAACGAGGCTTTTTTATCTTATCCAACATAGCGAGCTGGACAAACAGGACGCTGTAGTAGTGCTCAGGAAATGTTCCTGCAGCTTCACTTGGCCTTGTGCACAGAAGATGCCACCTCGCAAGCCATTTTAAGGTAAAGGAGGGTCTTGGCTGGGGATTTAGCTCAGTGGTTCTGGCGCCTGCCTCACAAATGCAAGGGCCTGAGTTCAATCCCTGGTACCAAAAAAAAAAAAAAAAAAAAAAAAAGGAGGGTCTGCTGTGTGGAGACCCGAGTAAATGTCATTCAAACGCCCATCCAAAAGCGCAAAGAAGTGAAACCCCTCCTGATATCGCCACTAGATGTGAAAACAGCAGAATAACAATAGAATATCAAGCACTGAAAATGACTTTTGCAGCCATATATATATATATAGTGTTTACTTCTCGGAGACCATTGGGTGAGCAGGGACTGAGTGCTACTCTCTCTGAGCCTCCACAGGCTCTCTGAAGGTAGTGATTAAAGCCTCAATGAGATGTCTGGAAGAGGTCATCACTGAGGCCATCACGGATGACTTTTCAAACAAATAGCAATATCAGGACTTCCAATGGAAACTGGGTCCTGTAACACCAGTGCCTTCTCACCTGGGATACATCGGAGAATTCTAGCTTCACTACTGGAAACTTCTGCAGAGGTCTCAGTTTCTTCTTCTCACTCCCTGATGTTTCCTGAGTGCTTACTACAAATCACACTGTTTTCCCCCTAATCCCATTTTAAGTAATTGCATGGTAGGGGTTGTGGCTCAGTACGAACATGTGCCTAGCATGACTGAGGTACTAGTTTTGATCTCTACACTGGAAAAAGAATTAATTATGCTTTCAAATTCTGATGTAATAATCCACTTATCACTATTTTCTGTGAGTAAACATTTCAGATAAGCTATGAAGAAATTTCAGGATGCAAACTGTCTAACTGCTGTGTAGCATTAGGTGCCTATGGTTTATCTTCAAGATAAGCACCTGCCACAATCTTATCTGACAATGGAACCTCTCAAAAAACAAAATTATAAGATACATAAAGTGCATGGATCTTAAGTATGCAATCCAGTAATTTTTTTATATATATAACCATCTCTGTGACCACCACCTACATCTCCCATGGACAAAGAATACATGTTACTTGATTCCATTTAAACATGACAAATTAACCCATTCATACAACCATCATTCAGGTCATGATAGGAAACATTTCCCAGAATGCCCTCCTTCCTTCACACTCTGTAGTGTCTCTCCCAGAGGTAATGGTGGTTCCAACACTATCACCTTTCTTTCTCTTCCTTTTTTCTTTTTTCTTTTTTTTTTTTTTTTTTTTTTTTTTTTTTTTTGGTACTGGGTATTGAACTCAGGTTGTTGTACTTGCCAGGCTGGTGCGGTGCCACTGAGCTAAATCCCCGGCTCCAATACTAATGATTAATTTTGCATATTATTTGAATCATATTATTGGGATTATAAATGGAATCCCCTCACAGTATGCACTTTTGTGTCTGTGATTCATGTGTATTGTTGCATACATGTGTTTTGTTTATGCTGTATAGAATGTCACCATATAAATATACTATCTTTGTTTATCCATACACCTGCTGACAGACATTTAGAATGTTTCAAGTTTTCAGCAATTTTTTTTTTGTATCAGGAGTTGAACTCAGGACCCTGAACTTGCAAGGCAGGGGCAGCACCACTGAATACCCAGCCTGTCGGCAATTTTAAATAAAGGTCCTATGACCATTCTTATGTATGTCATTTTTGTAAATACAACGTATGCACTACCTTTTCTCTGACAGGCCCATGGGATAGGGGCTTTAGTAGAGGTGACCAACAGAATGAATTCCTTTATGAAATTTGACAAAATTTAAAGAACTCTTCATTTAGGAGAAAGTATTTTTGTTTTCTGCCCAAGTGCCAACTACCCACTCTGATCTCTACTTTCCCAATTCTCTCCCTTCTCTACTTTCCTAACTCCTGTACTGGTCAGAATTACCCAATGTTTATTCCTAGAAATTGGCCTGGGAGGCGTAGGTAAACCACACTTTTTAATTCTACATATTTTCCTAAGAGGAAATGTCTCTCTAGAATGGCCACAAGTACATACATGCTGTGACTAGTAGAGGAATTTGAATATGGAGTCTGTATTAGATGATATGAATGTCTAGTTGATTTCTCTAAAACACCTTTGTGTGTGTGATCATTTTATTGAGGCAGTGCCTCGAGCTTCCTTTTATATATCTGCATAAGTATGCACACAGAAAGACATACAGGCAGAAAGACACACAGATAAAAGGAAAAATGAGAGCATGTGAGTGTGGCAAAAAGCTAAATGGCAATCTGGTGATCTAAATAAAAGCATAAGGTATTGCTTGCAGTGTTTTCTAAACTTTCTTGTAGGTTTGAAATTTATCAATATAAAAAGTTAAGGGAACAAAGCTAGAAGGAAGCTGAGAAATGATTTGTAACTGTAAAAGTTTTAGCAAGAAGCATTTGGCCTAGACAACACTTCACCTGCAGGAGTTTCTCAAAGCAAAGTTATGCCTAGTCCCTCATTCATCCTAAAGTTCTTCTCCTGCCTCTCCATGCAGGTGCCAGACTGCCAGAAGTACAGGGGACTCGAGCTACATTGCCACTGGAAGCTTGAAACCAGTCTGCAAAACAAGCAGAGAAGAGGCACCCTCACACTCGGGAGGGGCTGTATTTGGCTACAGTAACCAAGCACTGTACGGGGCAGAAGTGGGTCTTGCTCTCCGTGTCCCCTTCCATCCTAAATCCATACTTTTTTTCTACACAACAATGTTGGCTTGTAATGCCATGGCTATTTATTTTGTAGATGTTATTTGTTATTTATTTTTGTAGATGTTGTCATATGTTCAACATTATGACAAAGAGATTAACAGGATATTTATTCAAAATATATATACATAAAGAGCAAATTAGAAGACAGATAAAAAGGAAGTATACTTTTTTTCAAATGAATGTGAAAACTACGGATGGAGGGTTAGGGAGGAAGGGAGGAAAGGGGGTGGAAAAAAATGATGAAAATAGCTTTTGCTATGGGAAGGAGACCAACAGTTGGAAGGAACAAGGAGGGAGAGATAGGGGATGAAAAAAGAGAGAGAGAAAAGAATTAAGATGCAAATGTACATGTACTAACTCCCCATGATAATTGTAGTCATTATGTACTACAAACATACTAATAAAATAAATTTAAATTTAAGAATATGCAGCAGGCTCTTACTCTTCTTTCTCTCTCTTAAAAAATTAATGGAATATTGATTCATTCACTAAATTCTTAGCAGGAATTTTCTCTTTTTTTGGTACCAGAGATCGAATTTGGGACCTTGTGCCTGTGAGGCAGGCAGCGGAATCACTGAGCTTAATCCCCAGGCCCAGCAGGAATTTTTAAAAGTCGTATTATTTCTATGTGCCAGGCATTGAGCTGGGTGCTGCGGACACAGTAGTAAAGGAGACAGTCAGGGGAGGGAGACAGAAGCTTCTGATACAATGTGGAAAGTGCCCCAGGAGTGGCAATCATGAACTGGAGGCTGCTCTTTACTTCCCTCTCATAGTGACAATCGCGTTTATTGGGATCAGCTGTTTTAATACACAACTTCCTTACTAGAGTGTATCTCTAGCCCGAGCACAGTGCCATAAAGCAGACGTGCTCAGTAAATACGTGCAAGGCACAGAATGGAGAGAGGAGAGGGAAGGGACGTCTCTCCCCCAGAACCTCATACTGCCTCACCTTGTTCCAAGGTTATGTAGGTTAGGGTCTCTGTGACATCCAGAGCATCTCTTGTCTCACAATCCACAATTTCCTTGGCGACAGCTGTAACCTGTGAGTGGCTCCACACCTCAATGCTTTTGCTGTTGTAGCTTCAGAAAATTGAAGACAGAAGGAGCCAGTTTCTTTCTCCGTTTCCTCATTCCTTTATCCAACAAAGCATAGTCACATGTTTCAACTTTAGATATCCCCTTGATATCTTGCAATACTCAAAAATATGAAAATTATTTAATATACGTTACAGTTCAAGATATTACTAAAATCTGTAATTTCCAAAAGCACAGAGTGAAACAGAAGGAAATTAGTCAACACTAAGAAAGGCCTAACTCATTGGTTTTTGCCTCTTAGGAGGAAAAAAAAGAGCACTACTATTTTTTTTAAAAAGTGGTGTACATTTGTAATCACAGCACTCTGAGAAGCTGAGGCAGGAAAACTGCAAGTTAGAGCCTACCCTTGGGCAATTTAATGGCTTACAGGGACCTTGTCTCTGCCACGGCCTAGCCTGAAGATGGCCTCTCTCTTCCCTACTCCCTTTCGCCTCCGTAGATCATAGAGCCAGGACGCACAGCCCCAGGAGACAGTTGCCTTGGGTACCCGTGTTGCCTTCCTGCGCATGCTCAGATCACGAGCCAATCAGTTCAGCCTAGGCCACGCGGGCCACGTGGCACGAGTCACGCCGCCTTCCTACACTATAAATAAAGAGCCCACTGGGCCCAGGCAGCCCTTAGCTCATCAGAGCATAGTCCCACGTGGTCCCAGCTCTCGAGAATAATCTTGGTCTCTTCGTTGTCTTTTCTTCCTCTCCCACCGCTCAATTTTGAAATAATTCACCTGTCTGTAAATATAGGTAATTGTGATACACCCTAAAAGGATAATGGCTTAATACATAGCTTCTAACTCCTTCTAAATGCTGAAAAGTTTAGCTGTGATTCTTGATTAGTCAAAAGGCATTTTCTTCACAGACCATTTTTAAATCTTCTGAAACAGTCAATTCTAAAATGAAGTCTCACTTAAATTGTAATGAGAAAATGAAAAAATGGAAATGAAGTGTTTGTAAAAGGTGAGGGGAGGAGGGGTGCAGGGAGGCCAGGGACAAGGGGAAAAAATGAGAACCAAGACCTGTCATGTAAAGGTACAAGATCCCAATAATGAATGTAACTGAGCTGTAAACCTAAAATGTACCAATAAACTCAAAGAGGAAAAAATAAATAAATAAATAGTGATTGTACACTCTTGCTATTTGTAGCTTTTTCCCCTAGGCCCTTTACAATTTCTTGGTTGATCGATACATAATAGACATTCATTAAATGTTGCATTGAATGGAAAAATGAAAGAATAAATTAATATGATTGGCACTCGGTTTTTGGGAAGCTATTTAAGATCTATTTTGACTGGATGTTTCGATCCTTGGTTATTTCCATTACTTTTTCCAACCTCACAAGTTTCCTCACCCCTTGGTTGGTGTTTCTTTGCAGCCCCATGAGCGGATGCTCAGCGGAAGTGCTTTGTGTCTCTCCACACGGTTTCCTCTCCACCTCTTGCGTAACCGTGTAAGAGCTCTCTGTGTGGCTTCTCTCTGAGCACAGCATCCTGGACTTCCTTCCACTCAATAGGGCATCTGGGTTCCTGGAGGGAGCCTTCCCAGTGGACCAGCCTAACTGTGAACACTAGCGGAGTAGTGTTCCAGACCAAGACTCACCGTGGGAAGAAATTCAGTAATATAGTACAGACCATGAACAAGTCAGGCCATTATGTTATGCTGCAAGTATCTTCTCTGACTTTGAAATTCCTCTTTGTTTTTTCAAGCACCCAATGGTTTTCACCTCTTTGTGGGGAGATAACTGAGTCTCGTTGTTCTTCTTGCATTTTATCTGTAAGAGCCAGTTGTTGGTAGTGAGAGGATAAATAGCACTAACCATTCCACAAATCCAAAACTGGATTTATCCTCCATTTTGTTTGTTCAATTGTTTATTTATCCGTTTTTGTTTGGTTTGGCTGATTGGTTGGTTTTGAGACAGGGTCTAGCTCTGTAGTTCAGACTGGCCTTGAACTCACTATGTAGCCTGGGCTTGCCTCAAATCTGCAATGATCCTCCTGCCTCAGCCACCTGAGTGCTGAGATTACAGCAATGTACCACTATTATAACTGGCTTCTCCTCTGTTTCTGATGGCTGAAACCTTAGTCCCATTTGCTAAAATCTACAGAGTATTACAAATAGTCTCAAAAGTAAGCCAAAAGAGAAGACAGATGACCTACAAAGAAAGTTAGGCAAGAAGCAGTTATTTCAAAAGTAGCAATGTAAATTAAATATAGTCTATATGGTCAACCTATTGTGCAACAAAAATTATCAATTAAAATTCTATATCCAGTTAAAATATGTTATTGAGGCTAGACTTAGTGGCACACACCTGTAATCCCAGATACCGAAGAGGCTGAGGTAGGAGGATCTCAAGTTTCAGATCAACCTGCACAAGTTAGCAAAATAAATAATAAAAAGGGCTGGGGATATAGCTCAGTGGTAAAGAATTTGCCTGGCATACATGAGATAATTGTAGATAGACACAGTTAATCATAACTCATTGCAGAAAGAACTACTGAAGGATGTATTCCAATGGGGAGGAATTTAAATCCAAAAAGGAAGCAATGATAGACATAGAAATTTTAAGCACATAGGGCATAAATCTGTTCATCCAGAAGTGCTTCCAAGTCAGTAAAATATAAACTAAAAAGAAAAATGGCCAAAACACATCTCTGATATAGTCTCTTGACATTTTTATCTACTCTATCCAGGGACAGTACCTATAAGTCCTGACTTTTGCAGAAGTGACAGTTATGGTTTGTGTCTAGATGTCGCCTTAAAGCCTCAGGCAGTCATAGGTGGAGCTTGGTCAGAGGTGGCTGGATCTACAGTGGGTGATGCTGGGACTGACTCGTGGTGCAATGCTAGGATCGAGGGCACTAGGATGAAGGGTGTGAGAGCTAACCTAAGCTAACTGGATAAGACAGAAGGGATAGAAAGATCTGCGGCCCTGCCTTGCTTGCTCTCGCTTGCTTGCCATGAACAGTTTCTCCTGTATGGTGCCCCTCTGCCACACCAACCTGCCTCAGAGCCAGTCAGTTATGGACTAAAACCTCTCTGCCAGCTAAATAAGCCTTTCCTTAACTTCGGGTGTCAGGTATTTTGTCTCAGTAACTAGAGAAAAGTGACTAATATATACATCAATTCTGATAATAAATATTGAGGACACTTTTCATTCTAAAACTGAAGTTCATTTCTAAGAGGAAACCTCTTTTACTTTTTAGATGTTCCTTTCAATTTTTCACTAAAACCTAAATAATGTATGTCTTTAAATGTATATTATTATTTGTCTAGGGTGTTTTGTTCGTTTTTGGTTTGAGTCTGGATTTGGGTTTGGGTTTTGCTTTTTTGAGACAGGATCTCTCTGTGTGGTTCAGCCTGGCCTTAAACACACTATGCAGCCCAGCCTGGCCTCAAACCCTCTGAAATCCTCCTGCCTCAGCCTCCCAAGTGCTGGGATTTTTTTTTTAATTTTTTTATTAAAGATTGCAAAGATACAAGATAATAAGAAATGAAGATACTAAATAAAACTTTCAAATACATATATATGACAGCAAAAAAAGGATATGAAATAAACAAGAATTTATGTAACACAGACTAATCAAAATACATTAGTTTGATATGATCTTCAAACATGTTCTCATTTTCTTATATTTTTGAAATAATGTAATTATAAATTTTAAAAAGTTACATATTATAGTTGAGAAACTATCCTCAAAATTTTATGATTTATAAACTCCTTGGTTTAATTAATTGATAAATATCATATACTTGTTGATTGTACCACTTACATTTTCTAACAAAACTTCCCACAGAAAAAAATATACTTATATTTGAAATCCAAAAGCAACTAAAAAAATTCACATTTTTAAGATCAGATTTTTCTGATTCTATTTTATTATATCCCATACTTATTTTTATTATATTTTTATAAATTATAAGCATAATGATAGAATTTAACACCAATAGATATGTAATATTCTTCCCAAACGAATGACAATGAATTAAGTCAAGCATGTAATTTAAAGAAATCATAAGGTTGCCAGAGAAACTATCAATATGGCAAATGTGCACAATCCTACCACATTCATGCCCATGTTTCTCATTTAATAGTGCACACATATATGTGAAAACATACCCCCCACACATATACACAATGAATATTTTCTACAATACAATATATACTTAGGTATAATAAAATAGTGCAGTGATGTGTGGAATGTTGGTGATTTGCATAATTTGAGAAAAAACAAATATCATCTTTGAAGGAGTTGGAGAATTTGTAATATGTATCAGATACTAAATGATATTAATGATTAAGTATAGTTATAATAAAAATTACTTAAAAATTAATATTTCTCATCAGTAGAAAATAGGTTCAAAGATATATTGATAACATAACATTTATCTTAACAAATTTCCAACCAAACAAGCTGTAGTGACAGAAAAGGAAGTTTGTAGAAAGCAGAGATGAAAGAGGAAAATGGCAGATGGGCCTTAATACTTTTCATACCACTCATATATACAGATTTCATAAATTCTCAAATAGAAAAGCAAAGAAAATGAGAACCAAAATAACTCTTCAATTTGGTAGACCAACATATAGAGACAAGGATTAATGTATTGATAAATTTTAAAAATATGAAAGGTACAGCCTGAGATTTAGCTCAATAGTGCTACACCTGCCTAGCAAGAACAATGGGCTGAGTTTAATCCCCAGCATCAGAGGAAGAAAAAGAAAAAGGGAAAAAAGAAGAAAAGAGGAAAAAAAAGCATATATACTTTCTGACATACTCAATAAATTAAAAATAAATTATTTGTTATCTCTTCCTTTTGAATTGTTCCCTTCACAAGGATGTAGTGAGCTTGTCTCTTTCAATCAGTTTAAGTTTGAAACTTACTTTGTCTGTGAATTAAGATTGCTACCCCTGCTTTTTTGGGGGGCGGCTCCTGTTACATGAAGTTTTCTGCATACTACAAAGCCACTGTGATAAAAACAGCATGGTACTGGCAAAGAAACAGACCTGAGGATCAGTGGAACACATTGAAAGACACAAAAAACAACTCCAGATGCACTCAGCTACCTCATCTTTGACAAAGGAGCTGACAGTCCCCTTTGGAGGAAAGATAGCCTCTTTAATAAATGGTGTTGGAAAAACTGGATGTCAACCTGCAAAAGATTAAAACTAGACCCTTATCTGTCACCATGCACTAAATTAAAATCCAAGTGGATTAAAGATCTAAATATAAAAACAAAAACACTAAACTTGCTGGAAGATAAGTTAGGCAGAACTCTGGAAGACATTGGCATAGGAAAAGGCTTTATGAACAAATCCTCAGTAGCATGGGAACTAACAGAAAGAATCAACAACTGGGATCTCATCTTATTAAAAAGCTTCTGCACTGCAAAAGAAACCATCAACAGAACTAAGAGACAACCTACAATGTGGGAAAAACATTTTACCAGCTGCTCCTCAGACAAAGGACTATTATCTAAAATATATAAAGAACTCAAAACAACCAGCCAAATATAAAGACCCTATTCTAAAATGGGCATCTGAAATGAATAGACATTTCTCAGACACAGAAATAAAAGCAGCAAGTAAATATATGAAAAAATGCTCCACATCACTGGTCATTTGAGAAATGCAGAGAAAACAACACTGAGATTTCACCTCACCCCACAAAGAATGGCTGCTATCAAGAAATCACACAACAAATGTTGGCACGGTTGTGGGGAGAAAGGAACCCTTCTCCATTGTTGGTGGGAGTGCAGACTGGTGCAACCACTATGGAAGTCAATATGGAGATACCTCAAATCAAAGAACTAGCATTAGAGGTTCCATATGATCCAGCCATCCCTCTGTTGGGTATCTTTGCAAAAGAATTAAAAGAATCATACCACAGTGATATACGCACACCCATGTTTATAGTGGCACAGTTTGTAATAGCTAAAACTTGGAAACAGCCCATCTGCCCATCAGTTGGAAACTGGATAAAGATGTGGTTTTTCTATAAAATGGAATACTACTCAACCCTAAAGAATGAGAAAGTAGATTCATTCATAAGTAAATGGATACATTTCGAGGATATACTCCTAAATGAAATAAATAAGTCACACATATGCAAATACCGAACAGTTTCTCTGGTGTGAAAAACTAAAATAGTACTCAAGATCCTAATGGGAAAATTAGCAATGTGAAATAGGAAAAAAAGGACCAAAGGTGTAGGGACAGTGAGAAGGATAGGGAAAAGGGTATAAGGGAAAAGGAAAAAAAATATGAGAAAATGTAAAAATGGAATTAAAGTGTTTGAA